GTATAAATTATACTAACAATTCATCTCCACTAATTTTTGTCTTCCACTAATACTCCATTAATTTTTATCTTCCATTAATTTTATCTTCCACTAAATTAATGGATATACTTAAGTTAATTAAGTATTATCCTTACATTCTCCCACTTGAAGACTTTGATGATTTAATCAAGTCTTCACACATGATTATCTGTGATTCTTCTATCCTTTCTATACTTGCCATCTTCATGCTGCTTACGTTTTTGCTAGACCATAAGAGGATCTGCACCATATATACTTATCAGTATTGACCGGTTTCATCAAAGCATCTGCTGAGTTTTCTTTTATATGAACCTTCTGAAAATCCACACTTCCATCTTCTACCACTTCGCAAACAAAGTGATACTGAACATCTATATGTTTTGTTCTTGAATGAAACGCTGGATTCCTTACAATATGCAAGATACTTTGACTATTACAATACAAAAGAAGATTCTTTTATTTGTACCCGAGCTCTTCTATAAGTTTCTTCATCCATATTGCTTCTTTACAAGCTTATATAGCTGCCATATACTCAACTTCTGTTGTGGATATCGCACAACAGTCTGTAGTTTAGAGACTCAGCTCACAGCTCCTCCTGCAATTATGAACACATAACCTGTAGTGAATTTTCTTTTTTCAAGGTCACCAGCAAAATCTGAGTCAACAAAACCTCTGACAGTAAATTCTGATCCTCCATAACATAATGCGGCATCTAAGGAACCCTTAATGTATCTCAAGATCCTCTTAATAGTATTCAAATGCTCTTTACTAGGATTTGCCATGTATCGACTCGCAGCTCCCACTGCTTGTGCAATGTCTGGTCTTGTATATATCATGACAAACATTAAACTTCTTACTACTGATGCATACGGTACTCGAGACATCTCCATTCTCTCTACTTCATTGCTAGGAGACATATTAGAGGATAATTTGAAGTTAATAGGAAGTGGGGTGGAAATTGGCTTACAATCTTGCATGTTGAAGCGTCGCAAGATCTTCTTCAAATAATTCTCCTGAAAAAGCCAAATCTTCCTCTTACTTCTGTCTCAGTAAATTTGTATCCCTAGAATCTTATTTGCTGGTCTCAAGTCCTTCATATCAAACTCCCTAGCCAATTGTGCCTTCAATTCTTGTACTCGACCTTTGTTGGGACCTATCACCAACATGTCATCCACGTACAACAACAGAATGATGAAAACATCATCTTTCTTAAACCTCTTATAATACGTACAATGGTTTGAACTGAGTCTATTGTACCCAAGGCTAATTATGAAGGAATCAAATCTCTTGTACTAATACCTCGGCGCCTGTTTGAGACCGTATAAAGATTTGTTCAACTTGCAAACCAAGTTCTCCTTGCTTGTTTTAGCAAAACCCTCTGGTTGGAGCATATAAATTTCTTCTTCAAGTTCTCCATGAAGAAATGCAGTTTTCACATCTAACTGCTCTAAGTGAAGATCAAATATAGCACACATTGCCAAGATTACTCTGATTGTAGTAAGTCGTACCACCAGAGAAAATATCTCATTGAAGTCTATTCCTTCTTTTTTAGCATATTTCTTCACCACCAATCTTGCACGATACCGCTCCACTTGATCGTTTTCATCATGTTTTATCTTGTAAACCCATTTATTTTCAATGGCCTTTCTTCCTTGTGGTAGTGGAATAAGATCCCAACTATTATTCTTGTGCAGAGCTTCAATCTCCTCTTGCATTACTGTCATCCATATAGATACATCTGTGCTTTTGATAGCCTCGTGGAAAGTTGATGGCTCTCTATCCTCTGTTAGAAGACAGTATGCAATGTTACTCTCAGTAACATATTCTGAGTGCCAGACTGGTGGTTTTTTTTTTCACGAGTCGACCGCTGAACTTCAGGAGTTTTAGACTCTATTTGTTCTTGCTCTTCATGATCTGATGCAGCTTCAGAAGAAGTATTATTCTGAGTATTTTCCATATGGACTACTGTAGTCTCCTTTAAAATGCTATTATCTTCCTCCATTTGCATTTTACCTTCTTTAAATATGACATCTCTGCTGATGACTACCTTGTAGGCAGTGGGATCCCACAAGCGATACCCCTTCACTCCATTAGCATATCCCAAGAATACATATTTTCTAGATTTTGAATCCAGTTTGCTAACTTCTTGTGTATTGTACATCACGTACATAGGACTTCCAAATATATGCAATCGAGAATAATCAGCTGGTTTTCCAGTCCACATCTCCATTGGTGTCTTTAGCTTAATTGCAGTTGATGGAGATCGATTTATCACATAACAAGCGGTATTAACTGCTTCTGCCCAGAATGACTTTCCTAGACCTGCAGCCTTCAACATTGCTTTTGTTCTTTCTAACAGAGTCCTGTTCATCCGCTCTGCTACTCCATTTTGTTGTGAAGTGTATGCCGTTATGAACTGCCTTTTAATACCTTCATGTTGATAAAAGTGATCAAATTCATCACTAGTATATTCTCCTTCATTGTCAGTCCTTAAACACTTGATCTTCTTTTCAGATTCAAGTTCCACCCATGCTTTGAAAGTTTTAAAGACTGCAAGCATATCTGCCTTCCTTCTAATTGGATATACCCAACATCTCCTGAAGAAGTCATCTATGAATGATACAAAGTATCTTGCTCCTCTCAAGGATACAACCGGTGCTTGCCAAACATCAGAGTGAATAAGGTCTAAGATGCATTTGCTCTTCGTTGTTGATGTGCCAAACTTTAACCTGTGTTGTTTACTTGTAACAAAATGCTCACAAAAAGGTAAAGTAACCTTTGTAAGCCCGGGGAGTAACTTCTGATTAGAGATAACCTTTAAACCTTTCTCTAACATGTGACCTAGTTTTTTATGCCACATCATTGTCTTCTCTTCTGCAGGATTGGCTGATGCGATTAACGCTTCTGCCTCAAGATGTGTTTCTACTATTAAAACAAATATATTTGCAACTGTCTTTCTTACCTTTAAAACCACTAGCGCTCCTTTGATGATTTTAATGATTTCATTATCTGTTCGAATCTTACAGCCAAGACTATCAAATTGTTTTATGGACAAAAGATTCTTCTTTAAATCTTTCACATGTCGCACTTTTGAAATAGTACGAATTAAGCCATCATACATCTTCAATTTGATGGTGGTAATGCCAACAATCTCTAAAGCATAATTATCACCCATGAACAGTTTACCTCCAGAGATGGGTTTATATGTATGGAACCAGTCTCCATTAGCCAGACCTTAGTGAGCTTTTCTCTATCTATAGAGATTGTTGCTACTTCACTATATAAAACCTCTCCATCTTCGGAGATGCTTGCAACACATCCTTGAGGTTTTGATGACTCTACAGTATTCTCTATACCCTTTTTAAACCAACAATCCTTTTTGAAGTGCCCTTTTCTACCACATTTGTAGCATTTCACAGTCTTCTTACTTCTTGATTTGGACCTCCACTGCCTTTGACTCCCACTAGAGCCACGCTCTATTGATCTTCCTCTTGACACCAACAACGCCTCTACTTCTGTCTCCTTTGTTTTTGCGCCTATTTTCTTTTTCTAAGATAACGACTGTAACATCATTGAAGACTAAATAGTCTGAGAGGATATTATTTGTCAAGTTGATAATAAGCTGATCATATGAATCAGGAAGACTTTGAAGTAGAAGCTTTGCACGTTCATTTTCCTCTATTTGTCGACTCAACATAGTGAGTTGTGAAAATAGAGTTCTTATTGTGTTGATGTGGTCAGTCACCGACGTGGTTTCTGCCATTCGAAGGGTATAAAGTCACTGCTTTAAGAAAATCTTGTTGTGCAAAGACTTAGACTCATATAGCTTTGTTAAAATCTCCCATATCTCCTTAGCTGTTTTCTTCTCCGCCACACTTGATAATACTTCATTGGCTAATGCTAAATGTATGTTAGCAATAGCATTGCCATCCATCTCATTCTATTTTGTATTATCAGTGATCTCCTCGGGTCGATCTCTAATTGCTGCCAAGCAATTGTCTTTCCTTAAGATTGCCTTGATTCTCATTTTCCATAATGAGAAATTACTCTCTTTAAACCTCTCAATCCCGTACTTTGCTGCCATTATATTCACTGAGATCTATTCAACTATCACTGTTTCACTGATATGCAATGTATATATAAATAGTATCGTGTGAATAATACTTCACTAAGTAAGTTCCCAGGAAAGATTGGAGGGGTCACAAATGGTCCCGCTTAAAACCGAATCTTCTTAGACAGAACTTCTTGATTGTATTTAATCACTGCACTTCTTTTCTATATACACCAACAGGTGGTGTCATGATCCTTACAAGTGGTATCAAAGCCATGCCCCCGAGTTAGCCATGATGGATGAATCCTCAGAATGTCGAACAAAAAGGTGGTGGACCCCAATTAGATCACGATGTAATCCATGGATTAGCTCTATTAGATAGGCGGTGTGCTCCAGATGCTTCATGGACGTGCCCTGATTCCAACACGGTGAAGAGGTGTTGACCTAAAAAGAGCAAAAAAACTCTCAAGTCAGGTAGTGCTCTCTGGATGCTTCATGGACATGTCCTAATCCCAACACGATGAAGTAAAGAATGAAGAATCCTGGTTGGTAGAGAGTAGATGGATAAATGATCATTTGAGGAGAGGTTCGGTGGTCCTTTGTTCAAGGGAAGGATTGTTGGGTATGCGACCAAAGTCCCACATTGGTTAGAAATGGGGAGGATCAAGGGTATATAAGGATGGACAAATATCTCCGTTGGAATGAGGCCTTTTAGGTATAACCCAAAAGCAAATTCATAAGGGCTTAGGCCCAAAGTGGACAATATCATACCAATATGGAGATAGTTGGTGTTCATAATCCTTACAAGACATACACACAAGTCAGGGCTCCATATTTATTGAACCCATCAAAATGTTTTGTTAAATAACATGGTAAGGATATTATTAGGAAATCTCAAAGAAAAAACAGGTACTTGCCTTCATTTCCTAGTCTTCTCGCTCCTATCAATGGTTGTGGCAAGATTGGCGAGCTCAAAGACATGTCCTCTAAAAGCCCTGTTCTTTACCTCGATTTTCCTCAGGTTTTGACTTAGCATTTCTAGGTTTTGTTTCTTTTTTGCTTTTGATTTGTGTGTCGTTGTGTTTTTGGGTATTGATGGTCATTGTGAAATGAGGTTTGTGAATGAATGACATTTCATTTGTGTTTTTATATTACAGGGTCGGATGAAGTTGCTTCGGATCATTGTGTATCCAAGAAACAGATTTTTGACATTGCAATTCTCTAGGAGTGGAAAGAATGTTGTGTGTGAGGATTATTTTGATCACATGGTTTCTTTCTTTTCTAGTTTTTACTTGGCTAATTAAATGTTTGTGTGCTTGTATTACTCATTTTCTTGCTAGTGTGATTTGTAATTTGTTAATGATGTAGGACCGTCGTCGAGTTAGCAAATTATTGGAACAATTTTGGTTTTTGTCTCTCTTGCTATGTATTTTAAGGGGATGAGTTGTGAAACAAGCAATGATATTTATTCATTTGGTGATAAAATCAGATTGTATTTTCTGAGGCATGGTGGGTTGGAACAAAGGAAGAGAACCCGGAGGAATTGAAACTTGATTTTCCTAAGGAACTGTTTGATGTTCTGTTTGTTCATGTATCTGTGATTTTTTTTGGATATATATATATATATATGGGTCGGAACAGAGCACATCTTTGGTAATTTTTTCTTGTAATTGATTTTTGTTTCGGGGACAAGGAATTGAATGTGATTTTAAAGGTGGGGCAGGAGCATGTAGTTGATAAAAGTGGAGCATGTAGTTGATAAAAGTGGAGCATGTAGTTGATAAAAGTGGTTGGACAAAATATGTGAAGGAAGAGTCTCCTGAAACAAAGCTTGATGATGATGACAACAAATATTTGAAAGGTTTGAAGGAAGGTATACCAATTCGGCAGTCTGCAAGAACAGCTGGAGAAGCATTAACTATATGTATGATTTAACATATATTTTTATGTACAGTAACATAGGGTCAGCCCTAAAAATAAATTTGATTTAGTGAGATTTGCATAGTTAATTAAAGCAACTATAACTCTTGATTCGAGTTGAATCAGACTTAAATTTGTAGTTTACAAGAAATTTCTAGACCAAAGTTCCATGAAAAATCATTTTTTGTAGTTTATCCACTATTCAAATTTATTGAAATTAAACTTGGAAGATCTAATATAGAAAACTTCATTTCCTGGATTTTTTTTGTGTTCTTTTGAATTTTATGTTATTTTCTTTTATATTTGAAGGTTATGATATTATTTTGTAAATTTAGAAATCAAGCTTGCAGTTCTTTTCGCTCAACAAATTTGTCTTCTCCGTAATTGTTGAGCTGTCTTTATGCTTCTGCCCGCATAAAAAACACTAGATGAAAAATAAAAAGCAGCCACCCCCAACACCATTATCACACACTCCAGGAGATAGGGAGGAAGCTAGTAAAGAAAATTTACAGATCATTTAAAGAAGACACTCATCAAACTTTTTCACCAAAGCAGATTCATTCATGTCTCTAATAGCAAGCTCAAGTGTTGAGTAGTTTAGTAACAAGTGGCTGAAACAATTGCACAATGTCAGTCAATTAAAAAGATGTTTGGAAAATTAAAACCAATAACACCATTTTATGATTTCAATGGTTTCAAGGGTGTTTGGCTTGGATATATTAGTGGGTTATTTTTCATATCCATATAAAAAATATGTATTTTTTTACTTTTATTAGATGTAATTAATTTATCCTTTAAAAAACGCTAATCCCATCTTCAAACTGAACAGGCATTTCATTTTAATATGTGGATTTCAAGATTTCCTCCTTGAATGAGCCAATTGACTGTTGACTTAACTGTCTAGAAGTTTAGCTAAAAGCTCAATTTTTAATTTATTTTCATTTAAAAACATCTAAAAAATACTTAAAACATTAAAAAACTAATTTATCAACCCAAAAAATATTTTAATTAGTTTGAAAATATAAAATAAAAGAAACCTTTCTCAACCTAATCTCTTATTTTTAGATGATGTTGAAGCACAAACACATCTCAATAACACTACTCCTGCGTTGCCGATCACAAACCCGGGATTCAGGTTGTGACAAAGAAAGTTGGGAGAGCGTAAATAAGGTGGTGGTGAAATTCTCAACATATTCTTTATAGACGCGTTGCTTAAGAAGTATGAAAGCATCATACTGACATCATCATTTTGACATGCATACTTTACAGGCTGACGTCATAATTATATCATCTCGTGTCATTAACATCCGAGTTAGTCACACGGGTCAAGTTTACTGGTATTTAAGTTAGGTCAGCCTATCTGGGTGAAGAAGAAGAGTAAGGCGTGTTTGTGCGCGTGAACTACCACCTCGTCGGCGTGCGGGGGAGATTGCGGGCATGTCTGACGTCCGTTTTCAACACCATTTTCACCAGTGGTTTCATCTTTTCCTCCTCTATACAATGGCATGGTTAAAACACAATTCTAACAACTTTTATTTTTGAGCAAAAATCAAACACCACTTTAAACCATATGTTCTTATATCAATTGTTGAGGAGTTTGGTCCCCCTATGGAATGGTGGTGTTCATGATCATTACCCAAAGGAGGCTAAACACATTGACACACAATATTGGATGTGGTTTGACAAATTACCTGCATCTCTAGGAGTAGTCTAAATTATTTTAGATAGAGAAAGAATATAACACACGGAGAAGGATCACATTAACTTTGCTCCCACCCTCTCATTTTATGCTGCATTCTTGGTATCTATTTATATGCTTCAATGACAGCTCCTTCTACACTTGTCAACAATGGTGGTTGCTCTTTGTCAATGGTTGATGCAACTTTTTTTGACATTAACAGTTGCCACCAATAACTAACCATTGTAGCCTCTTTCTTTAACAATGTCAAGAGGCTGTAAATTTTGCACCAGCAGCCCTCTTTGACTCTCACGAGTTGGCCTTTTTTCTTTGACAATGACTACAACATAATTGATAATATTCCAACAATCACCTCTTTAGCCATTTATATGGGCAATTTATCCTCTTACTTCTTCAGCTCATGCTTGCATCTTGCAGCTCTTCCAAGCTTACCATTCTGAGAGCATCTTTGGTTAAGTTTACAAGTACTCGCCAAACCTTTCGTTCATCAAAGTAACCAAAGCACATCTTTTCTCACACAAAAGGATCACTACAACTAGATAGTCTGCCACATCACATCTGAATAGTGTTAACGCGTGTTTTTGGAACAACATTCCCCTTCAAGCTTATCAACCATGCTCAATCTGGAATCATTTATCAAGCCTCACATCAAGGCTTATAACACCCTTTCAAACAGAAATTTTTATTTTCAAGTGCGACAGTCATAGAGTATTTCAATGTGATAATGAGCTCACTATTTTTCCAAGAGTCTACTCATCCCGGAGTTGCGTCTGCCCTCTATTCCACCATAGGAACCACGCCTTAGTTCTTCGTGAGTCTTTCGCTCTTAGTCTCAAGAGTCCTCCAAGTAGCTCTCCACCTTTAACTATAGGGGTAGCCCATTAAAGATTGATCCAAATCTTTCTTCATACTTTAAGTATTACAATGTTATTATCGAGCTCACCTCCTTGACAAGAGTCAACTTGTTCCCGAAACCTATGCAGGTCCTCTACTTATTCCTAGTAGTCGCGTTTTAATACTCCACAAGTCATCCATTTATTGTTCAAGGCAAATGTTATCTAGCTCATTGATCTTTAGCTTAAGGGTAATATCCATAAAAGTCAATCCTACATTTGTTTTCATACTCATCATAGCCACTTCATTGGCTATCCATACTATTCACTCATATCTAGCTATCACATTGACTCTGGAGTTCTAAACTAGGCTCCTTTCACGACCCTCACATCTTCTTCTGAAGTGTCTTTACTCGTTGTCATGCGACGGTCTGAAATGGGATGAATCGGTCAGAAAACCAATTCTGTACGTCGGGTAGTTCGCTGGTGTTGAACTGAAAATATTCTAGGGAATATTCTATTGGCTTAGTTGCGGTTTAGCTTCTCTTCGGTTGGTGGCTCAGTTTCTTCTCGGCTGGCTGCTCTATTGGAGGCTCAGCTCTTAGCTGATAACATGGCCGGTGGGCCTCTATGATGACGTGTTAGATGACTAGGCGCTGACATGGCATGTCTACTGTACATGATGACATCACAACTACATCATGTTGACATCATCATTTGACACATGCTGACATCACTACATCATTTTGGCATGCATACTGTACAGGCTAACGTCACAATTATGTCATGCTGATATGATCAACATCCAGGTTAGTCACATGGGTTACGTCTATTGGTATTCGGGTCAGGTCAGCCTATCTGGAGGAAGAAGATGCTTGGGGCGTGTCTGCATGCATGGATTGCCACCTCGTCGGTGAGTGGGAAAGCATGCAGGCATGTCTGACGTCTTTTTTCAATGGTGTTTTCACCAATAGCTTCGTCTCTTCCTCCTCTACACAATGGCATAGTTAAAACATAATTTTGACAACTTTTATTTTTGAGCAAAAATCAAAACCACTTTAAACCATATGCTCTGATATCAATTGTTGGGGAGTTTGCTCCCCTTGCAGAATTGTGGTGTTCATAATCATTGCCCAAAGAAAGCTAAGCACATTGATACAATATTTAACATGATTCGATAAATTGTCTATATCCACTAGATTAGTCTAAATTATTAGAGATAGAGAAAGAATACAACATACGAAAGAGGATCACATTCACTCAACTCCCATCTCTCATTGCTACATAAGACAGCAACTGCATAGGACAGCAGAGCTGCTGGTGGCAACTCTTCTTTCTTTGACAACGTGAGCCATCTTCTTTGACAATAACAGGAACATAATTGACAATATTCCAACAATTATGACTAGGAAAAAGCCTTCATGGTAGATAGTTATCAAAATGGGGTCCAGGGATTTATTTGGTTAAGTAGTCGAGTTTCAAGTTTTATGGGTCAATCTCGACTAACTTGGATCAACCTGAAAAAAATAAAAAATATATATTTAAAATTTTAATATTTTATATGAAAAAAATTAAGAAAAAATCTATGTGACTATAGAATATATATGTTGTAAATAATAAAATTTACAAGAATATTAAAAAAAACAAATGAACTTAATTTTTAGTTTGAGAGTGATTAAATGAAGTTGGATTTAAATTTATAGTATAAAAACAATAAGAAAAAGAAAGATGAAAATAAAATGCGTAAAAAACCAAACAGGAACTTTTCTTATTTTTTTGTAAAAAATTAATTTTCATCCAAAAGTCTCAATTTACTCATTTTTGTACCTTTGGTTTTTGAATTCTTTGTTTAGGTCTGTTATATAATATAACTATATAGAAAATATTATAGAAATACTCTTATATTGTATTTTATACTATTATTATATGCTTTATACATATATATAAAAAAGATTGACTAACTAATATATTAAGAATTTTAATTATTTCCAACTTGATATTATAGCTTTCTAACATCAAAACTCTTCTCTCCCTCTTTCTTTTACAGTCGGCCTTCTCTTTTTCTTGTCTAGATGGACTTTACTACTACTGCCGCTGACTTTTCGCTCGCCACTGGTGGTTCGGAATCCACCTTCTCATAATCTAAAGGTAGCCATCAAAGAACAGGGAG